AGTGTTGAGGATCAATTACGTGATTGATGATGAAAAGCAACAAACAATGATGCAGCGAGATATGGAGTACTTGTACAACGCCGAATGAAGCCATACAGACAAACTGGAAGGGATACAGTTGTGATGGCTAATGATAGTTCGGCGCTGCAAATTCAACGCCGCAGATTGTCATTTGTTGTTTCCGTCCGGCCAGAAACCGACCCTTCCCCCATTGCGGTAATCGTATGTGGAATACCCTGGCCCAAAATAAACACACAGAACCAAAAGCTAATCAGACATCCTACAAGATTTCAGAAACACGTCGCCAATGATGGCAAGGTTCGGGGGCAGTCCATTGCCTATGGAAAGAACGCCCGCGACACACGCCGTGGAGCCCGCACTCACACGACCCAGATAAAAGTCGCTTCGGGTGGATCGCAAAGCGGTTCCCGTCAAACGAGAGTTCGATCTGATTGACAGAGTAACATGGCACGCTCCAGAAGCCTGGCGCATATTTAGAGTAACAAGAACAAGGGAGGAAGGAAAAGGACTGACCTGGACCGTACTGGCTCGCGCGTTTAGAGCCAGGGATGAGCGCATAGAACGCGGCCGCGAGGGCGGAGGGTACGTAAATAAGCGACGTGCCGGTATCAATCGCCTGCGAAACACCGGACCCAGAGTGAGAAATATGCTATGAGTCAGCAGAGGGTGCACTCGGGGAAGAAGGAAGCGAGCGCTCCGGAGGCATACTGTACATAACTTACTGCGGTCAATTTGGCCGGTGCCCTAGCTCCATTTGCCCACAGGCCGTCCATGCTGACAGTCCAGTATGACTTGAAGAGAAGTATTTGTAATAAATTAATAATGTACAGTATTGATGAAGGGAAAACGGCGTGTGAGATAAAGCTTACTTACTCTGGATACCACGGGAAGCCACGTCACGGGACCGGTCGTGCGGCTCGAGTCGACACAGCCGAAGCACACCTAATGACAGCCCCACAGGGGAAGGGGGGGTGAGACGCCGCCGCAGGGGAAGAATCAATTGAATACTACACACGGAGGAGCCGCTCTCCTCGTGCCGGGAGAGGTGTACGGAGAAGAGCGGTGCGGCGAGCTTGCGCTGCGCGATAAGGCTCTCGAAGAATGTCGCACGGTGCGACTGCGCAATAGTCCCGAACGCCATGCCAAGTCAGCCCATCATTCGGCTGCTTATCCATCTCGTCCGACCGCGCACTGACAGTGCCAAACGCCAAATCTGCGACGGACAGCCCTGCGATCGTCACGATATCCGTCACGAGTCTGCCCGAGACGTTGCCCGTGCCCTTAGCGAGCCGCGCATATTAGGAAAAAAATCTATTGTGAATGGCTTGTGAAGGGACTGTACGTAGGTGATGGAAAAGCTCTCGCTGGTCGAGCGGAATGTCGAACTGTGCTGCGGGCGAGAATTGGTGGCTATGGCAGGCCTGGCAGGCTGAAGGTCACCCAGAGGTCCGCCGAAGCCCGTGTCGACTGTCGACGGTGAGCACCTGTGGTGGGGTGCCGATGCTGATAGGACCGTAGTAGAGCAGATCTAACGCGCCAGCGACGTAGTCTTGTAGCGGCTAGCAGCTCGCCCGCCGCCGTCGCAAGGCCAAGAGAAGAAATCGGCGTGTCGTTATAATGATGACCTGGGTCAGGCGAGTTTCGTAGTCTTGGCTTGGGTCCGTGCCTCGACCTGAGATGACGTTCGGGTCGTCGTAAGTGTCGCTTGCAGCGGACGGTGCACCGTCTGTGATACCCGGCGGAGGGAAGGAAGAAGCGTTGAAGCTGCCTGCAGAACTAGGAAAGTAGTAGCGATCGACCAGATGCCATGACGTCATCTGGGTTAAGACCAATCCCAGCAAGATAATCGCCCTGCGCGTGCGTATTTCAAGGGCACCGCGCGGGATTCCCTCTCCTGCACGGGGAAATGAGGTTAGCTGCATTCGTTCAATAGGAGGTAGAACGGAGTGACCGCATAGCTTGAGTTGAATATTCCCAGAGAATCGGGCGAAGACTCGGGCGGTAACACGGGCTCAGGCAGTCTGTAGTAGATCGCGTTATCAGTCAAGAGAAATAGACGACAATCGGCCGATCGTAGTAAAAGGCATACCCAGCGCTGCTCGTGGGAGAAGCGACGATACACCTGACGGATATATAAACGAAGACCAAATGTCGGGAAAGCATCGCCAAGCACTCGTTGAGAAGATCTCGGGAATGGAAGGCATGGGCTAGGCATCGTCTGTCTGATTCTAAGCTCGTCGTTTCAATCTGGACGAGGAGAAAATGTGTGGTGGATGTAAGAGTGTCAGGACCGTTGGACGGAAACGCGGTGTGCGGACCTAAGCAAAAGTGCAGCCGTCATGGTGGTACTGAGGACGGCGGTGGCTCGGGTAATTCCCGTCATGACGTGAAATGCGGATGAGTAAATAGTAATTCGTCGGCTGATTCTCGAGGTTAGACTCTACTGGAGCGGGTGAATTGCTAGATCCCTCAGCCAAGCAACAGATCCGAATCACATTCCGAAAAGGCCCAAGAAACTTGTTGAGCAACACTGTATGAAAAGCAGGAGTGAGCAGATCAAATTTTCAAACCAGGAACGGCCGCTCCTTTATAAGCTAGATACACCTCCTCCTCGCTGTCTCAATTACTCTCCCACATCCTCAAAACTCAGAAATGGATGTTTTCGTTTTTTCCGCATCTTTTCACAAAATGTGCAAAGTAACCTGGGTTAAATAATTACATAATTTGAAGGTGAGTTGATACGCGATTCCGGAAATGGGCTCCAGATCTCGGTTAGCTTAGCCGAGTAGCGCGTTTTGACAAATTGAACTGCTCACTTCTGCTTTCCACACTTCCGAGCTTCAAAGTTTCATTTATCAAACATGGTGCCGCATGCCAAAATACGCACTAGAACGCGTTAGTCCAATCCGTCTTATTATGACCGCCGGCTCGACCACCCATCTCACTTCTCAACCTCCCAGCCAACCCGTCCATTCCCCTCTCCTGTTCAGTCCGCTATACGGTTTTCACCGTGTCCTTCGCTCTTTTCTTGTACCCTCCTTTACATTATCGCCTCTCTAAAAAACCACAATCCTTTCAGTACCACTCGGGATTTCCTATCTCAACTATGCGTACTGGCTATACTGTTCATCGCCGCTCTTTCTCCTGTCCCTCACCGCATGCGTCCAGGGCCACCCTTTCATTACAGGACTGAGTGGAAAGGCGATGGGTTCTTCCAAGGATGGAACTGGGAGACCGAGAACTGACCCGACGCACGGCCGCGTCAACTACGTTAGCCAAGCTGAGGCCCAGGGCAAAAACCTGGCATACGGTGCGGTCATTTCCCCGTGTCTCCCTTAGACTCTCGCTGAATCCGTTGTTTTTAGTGGACAGCAACGGGGCGTTCGTCATGCGTGCGGACAACTGGACCGTCGTCGACGACCCCGCCGCGCGCGGGACGTGACAGCGTCCGCATCTCGTCCCAGAATGCGTACGACGAGGCGATATTCGTGCTCGATCTCAAACACATGCCGGCGGGCTGTAGCACCTGGCCTGCCTTTTGGACGCTGAGCAAAGGCTGGTCCGTGGCCAAACGGCGGCGAAATTGACATCATAGAAGGTTAGGACGGACACCCCCCCCCCCCCCTCTACGCTAAAAAAAAAAAGCTCAATGCGATTCTACTTCAGGTGTCAATCTGAATACCCATAACCAAGCAACCCTGCATACTACCCCAAATTGCACGAATGCCCCCCGATTTATGGCGCGAACCGCAGACTGGGTGGGTCTCACTTTCCTATATTCGAACGGAATTCCAATAAAAAATGGTTGTAGAAAGACCTGCGGAGACCAATTGCGACACGGCTGCCAACTTCAACGCAGGGTGCGGCGTTAGTCTTCACCGACCCGATACCATCCTGCACATCCTACGGTGCCCCAGTTCAACAGCGCTGGTGGCGGGTATTTCGTCATGTACAAAGGGCGCGAGTCCGTCAAAGTCTGGTTCTATCCGCGAGCTGGTTATGTCCCGAGTGTGATCCGTGATGGGGCGCAGCGGGGAAGGCCTGTATACCCCGATCTCACTTGGGGCTTCCCGGCTGCGAACTTTCCCTTCGACTCCCGACATTGTAACTACGATCAGCATTTTGACGCACACCAAATCGTGTTTGATCTGACTTTTTGCGTCGGTGTCCTGTCTACCCATATTCTGTTTCTACCCGTGGCTGACACATCTATTTTCACCAAGGGTGACTGGGCTGGCAGTGCTAATGTCTGGCTTACTTCCGGCTGCGGGTCAGGGACCTGCCCAGACTGTAAGTACCATCAATTCTTAATTATCGAGACCCCAATGTCCAGGCTCGCTGATCCTCTTTCTTCAGTTGTCGACAAGAACCCAGGTGCATTTGGTGAGGCTTATTGGGCAATCAACAGCTTGCGGGTTTATACGCCCTAGTGGTGAGGGGATCGATTGATGTGCGATACCTTTGTTCTATCTTTATTTTTCCCGACTTATCTTCTGATGTGAAGGCTATTCTTTCATTGCGTTCCACATCCTTTCGCATCGTTTTCGCTATCCATGCATGTATCTCAATCTGGTATCATCTAGTTTACCGTAAGTAGACCACTGGAGTATAATGCCCGCATTTACTGGACCGCGGGGCCCCGATCTGAGACCATCAAACGTTCAGGCATTGGTGAACTTCCATTACTCGTCAACTACGAGCACTAGGTCAACAGTACAATCGACTCGGAGCATGTGCTATGATTAGCAGTGCATCAAGTTCTCAGGAACTCCATCAGATGCTTCTCGGCCGCAATTGGAGCCGTATGCCCGACGATTCTATTTGATGAGAGTCAACACTGGTTCACAGAAGATCCTCTCAAAATGTATGCGATTGGACATGGATTAGCTTTATCCAGTACAAGTTGAAGTATGTACGGTGAACTGGCTAAGGCGAGTTTTACGGGTACACATCGGACTTTGTTGATACATTGTCCTAATGCATTGTTGGGGTAGTGGTAACCTGGGTCGTTGCCACCTCGTGCGCATATTCGACCCGCCCCGGGTTCAATTCCCGGACAATGCAAGTATTTTTTGTTTTTATTTTTTGACGCTGGGGATGCTGCTTTACAATGGGTTTTCACCGAGCTGACCTTAGCGATGCAATTTTGTTTGGTCCAACCACTCGGGGTGTTTAATTGCTGTCAGTGCGTCTACCCGAGGTGCCCCCCTGAAGTAACGGGTACGCTGAGAGGGTACCTTGAACCCTTCTTGCGCGCCCTCAGGCTTACATGATGCGTGATGGATGGTCGTCACCAATCCGGTTGGACGCGTTGAGCTTTCTCACTGGCCCCGAGAACACCAAGCACTATATGTATGGTACGACTGATAGCAGGAATATAGGACGCAATGCTGGTTGTGGTGAGAAATAAAATAAAAGATGGCAACTACAAAGTGAGACGACCAGAAGACTTTGCTTCTGCTCGGTCAACTCTCAACGTACTGACCGCTGACAACAAAATGCCGTGCTATGGGAGGCCCTCATGGCTCATAACCTAGTAATTAACGTCACGCATACATAAAGAACGTCAGCGAGCTTACGGGTTAAACGATGGAGCAAACTCACGAACCCATCACGACACCGTGTCGCGATAATGACGATGTTGATGCCGCTGCCCACGCGACGGAGCAGGGTTCTCCGGCCTAAGCGAGCAGTACAAGAAATGGCGGCGCGGGAGCGTCGCACTAGCCATGCCCGCGACCGCCGCGACGCGCGCACCCAGGGGTGCTGTGTCCGTGCCGCTTCCACGCACGCCGAGCGAGAACATGCGATCGAACACTTTTCGGACCATTGGTCATTCAGGCTCCAAATGATGAAGGGTTTACGCACGTGTGGCGACGAACGCCTTGGCGGTCGTCTGGCACACGAGGTGCGAGAGCGCAAGTGGGGGGCTGACGCCCTCGAGCGTGCGGAGGTATCGGAAGACCATCGAGGGCTGGCACGGCCCGAAGCGGAAAGACAGCCTGGTAGGCCTGCCGCCATTTTTCGTCGAGGAGCCGCGCGCATGTCTGCGGATCTGGGCAGGACGGACACTGCGGTGCGTGTTTTGGGGTTAAAAAAATCGTTTTGTCTGAGCTTTAAGCTCGTGCGAGGGGGGACACGTACGCATTCGTATTCTTTGGCGATCTGTACGAGGCCGAGCTTGAGCACACGTTCGAGGAACCAGGTCCGTCTGCGGAGAGCCAGCAAATTAGAAGCCGCCCATTCGCGTATCCGAGACAGACGCCTTAACCGCTTTTCGAGCTTGAGTAGTGTATCGCTACTGAGCGTGTTGAGCTCTTGTTCTGGCCACCCGCCCGGATTGTCGAGCACGAAGCGCGAGGCTTCGCGGTAGAGCTCTTCCTCCTCGAACAGCTCCGCGATGCGCATCGCCTTGATTGGGCGGCCGGCGGCGTGCGTGAGGAGAAAGTTGAGGCAGATCCGCTGAAGGGAGGGCACGCAGAGCTTGTTGCCGATGTTCATGAGGCCCTCCACGTTGTTCCACGTGATCGTGCATTCCATACTAAGGACGTCGCAGGTCAGGGTGGGGTACTTGGTGGGGTTGATTTGTGTGGGAGGTAGCGTACCTGGGATAGACGAAGCGGAGAAAATCGTGGAAGGTGCTCGCCTGAGCGCGAATGAGAGCCTGTCCCGAGGAAAAGGGAAGAGAGCCAGTCGCACCTTTTCTTCTTTGAGTACAATAACAGCATCTGGATTGCTTATCGCTTGGTGATGTTTAGCGTTTGCGTTTGCCCGCTTCCAAGAGAGTTTGACAATCCTATCGCCTTTGTCTTTATCTGCCTCCTTAGGAGCGTCTCCTGGGGATACAGTAGCGTTCCGTAATAGCTTCTCCAAGCTCGCTTGTCGTGCGGCCTCATGCGATTTTCTCTTCGGGGTTGCGGAGCAGCTGCCGCCTTCAGAGCGCGTACCCAATTCGGCATCATCGGATGTAGGTGAATGAGACGATTCGATGACCTCCGGCTCGCTCGACTCTGAAACGTCGATGTCCAACTCTTCCGGATCCATGTCGGAGTCCATGGGTGTAAACGCCATGGCCGTCGGCGCATCGGGGTGCGTCTTATCCCCAGGGACAGTCGGTGGTTGAGAAATGGTGATGACGGAGGACATGGAGAGCGGGCGTCCGGTCTCTGCCCAGTTCCCGCTGAGCGCGGCCTGGAAGAACTGGCGATGCGAACCAGAGAATCTCCTTGTGCGCCCTAAAGCAATAAATACCCCGGCAAGTCATCAGCGATTGAATGAAAGAGAATTGGATGAGTGTGGAGGATATGCGCACCAGAACGTCGTGCTCTCGACGACGATTTTGACCGTACCCTGGGAACTTGGAGTGCTTCGTGAACGCCTCGTCGACGTCGATGGGCTCCTGTGGGTCCGTGATGCTCAGCTCAGAGATCGCATCTTCCGTGTCTGCGCCTTCGAGGAACCACGGTGGTGATCCGGCCGAGGAGCGGAATATCCCCGCCGCGGCGGCATGTGTCTCCGTTGGCGAGCTCAGAGCTGCGGTGGTGTTCGACGGGCCACGAGAGTTGCGTGCGATGAGGATGTGGGACGGGTTGGTTGACATTAGAGTGCAGAGACGTTGTTGCTGGTTTGGGGCAGATGACCTGCGTATCCGTCAGAGCATTTATTGTGGATGGATATCCGCGGGCTGTGCAGATCGGCCTCAAGGATCATCGCGGCCCGTTGTCAGGGGAGGATCAGGGTGTGATGTCCTTCTCGGGCACACAGTCTTCACACAGACAACTTACGGTTCACTGAATGCAGCAGTGAAAGGGATTGGTCTCTTCTCAGGGTATACAGACAGGCACTCATATTTGACTCGTCTTGAATTCATGCGGCTGTAGGACATCCAACTGGTATCGGCGCTATAGTGTAGTGGCTATCACAACGGATTCTGATTTTCTCAACTTTCCGTTAACCCAGGTTCGAACCCTGGTAGCGCCTTCTTTTTCAGCCCTTCGAGTCGAAAGTCCGCGGCCACAATTTGTAATACGTATCTAGACACGGCAAGTACGAATCACCTTACATGACGACTACGTAAACGGAAGCATGACATAAACGGGGAGTTCCCCGAGCGGAATGTTCGGATATTAGTGTCCAGGGGCCTTGTGAGTGATGGCCGCATTAGTTTCGGTACTTGCTCATTGAGTCACTGGTCTCCGGGGCCTTTATAAGCTTGAGCTGAGCTGAGAGCCAAATAGCAAGTATTGGATATTTTTTACCTACCAACGTTTCCAATCTGTGGTTGTTGTCTCACAGTAGCCTTCAGTCATTTCCTCTTCGAATTCGCCATCCATGAAAATGGACAGGTGAAAAGCCGATCTCAAGAGGGTGTTTATACGCAACATGCGATAACTTGTGTAGTCACGGATCACTGTAAAACAAAAACGGAGTGAAACCGAGAGTGAAACTGCCAATTGTATTTATCAGCCGATCAGAGTTCGAGAAAAAGCATCCTTTTGTACTAAGTCGATCTACTGTGAAAATGTGAGGAAGGGTATGCAGGGTTGTGAGGGAGGGGAAGAAGCAGAGGGAGCGCGCAAACAAAAGGAGGGAGAGACACGGGGACGCGGGGAGAGCATCTCGCAAACAACGCGTTATACAGGTTGCTGTAATTACCGTTATGTTTACTTCTTATGACCTCTGTTAGGTGACAGCGCCGACGACGCCGCACAGATGATATTGTAGATCGGATCTTGTCCGGGTATTTCGTGATGAGCTCTTGTCCTCGTCGGATGCAGTTGGCATTGCGCGTTCTTGCTGAAACTTCCGTGAGCATATCCGCATTCTGTAGATCCTTTGTTACGGCCTCATTGCGAGTGTGACACTCTCGAGCTCGAGCGATGGTAAACGGACATCGATCATTCCTTGTCTTAGTCACGGACGCGAGGGCACTCGAGGTGGACAAGTAATGCACGAGGAGGTTTGCGGTAACCCTAACTTCTTTGAACCATATCAGCCCACGTTTCAACAAAGCTGGATTCACAACAGGTGAATATTCATATATGTACAAGCCTATATAGCTCACTGTGTAGACTACGGGGTTAAGGGTCCATTGACGCGGACATGGCGCCTGAGGACATCGAGCGTTGGCAGGTGGGTGGGGAATGGTTGCGAAGGTCGGATCTTGGATAGTCAAAGGCGCTCGTGAAAGTTGGGCTGTTGGGGCTCAGGGTGTCAGGAGAATTGAGGAGGGATCGGTGGGGGGTGTCAACTTCATCCGATCTGGGAGACTCACCTCACCTAGTCAGTGAGAAGCGGCCCTGACATGGACCTGGTGCGAGTAGGCCTCGCGTGTGTCACCACGACGACTTCTAATCCAGTGAACGGCCATGTATGGGAGTAACAGAACAGTATTGGTGGCCTATCCCGGCATCAAGTAGCACACCATCAAGAGTGGGTTGATCGTCGATCGCTCGCCCTTGATGATTGCGGGCCCAGTTTACCTAGTCGTGAACAGCCAGTGACACCAAGATGTTATTGAAACGCTCAGTGGCGATAGATCTGTACAGTCGGTGTTTGGCGCCGCGGTGATGTAACAGGTAGGTCATCACAATCTGCTGATCAAGCGGTCCGCTTAGGTTTGCCCTGTGTTTCAAAAGAGGGACTCATGTCGTAAGAAGACACCTTCCTTTCTAGCGTAGTGGAGCACGATCTTTGCGTCGTGCAAGACAAGGACGACCGATGTCAACTGAACGCACCACTGACCCCGCCCGCCGTAAGTCCGGGATCAGAGTGAAATTAAACACCCCGTTCGAAAGTGGAGCAGTCATAGATTTCGCTGGAACTCCATGACTGTCGGTGTCACTGTCACATCAGATGGATACGAGGAGTGGTATGCCACAAGGACAGAAGTGGCACATAACAGGCTCGCCGCAGAACTGATGGGAGAGTGTGGGAAATGGAGACAATCAATCGCGCGGTGATAAGTCTGAGAACATCAGAGGCCGGGTGCGGATACTGACAAGGCGTGTCGTCAGGATATTGACGGTAGCGGCCATTGCTCGGTATGGTGGGTGAAGAATGGA